TTTTTTTTTCCCAACGACAAACAAGATAAAATTACTCGAACAATAGTCTTACAATGCGAGGCCTAAATAGGCACAAATATTACCTAAGTGGACTCGAAGGCCTACTTATGCAACACCAGAATGATGTTTACAAATCATCTTGAGAAGCCATTTTGGCTAAATGGATACAATCTTTACACTGAAAAACATCAAAAATAAAATCACAAAATCTAAAAGAAGCCCAAAGTTGCTTGAAAGCCCTGGCATCAGAACTCAACTGCTCCATATCTTCAAGTAAGCTTTGAATCCACTCCACCATTGCCCTGCAACCTATGTAGCAATTGATATCCCTCCATCCCTTGTCTTTAGCCTGGTCCAGCACCCAGTAGACTCCTTCCATGTAGGCCTCCACTGAACTTCCCATGAAGTCCCTAGATGTATCCCACAAATGAAGAACCCTATTTCCGGAGAATGCCTTACCACCCAACCCCAATTTCCCATTTTGAACCCAACAGCTGACTGCAATCTCCATTTTCTCCATCTGCTCCTCCCCCCTTCTACTGATAGACCTCCTCACATTGCTGCTGCCTCCACCCTCATCACTCCCCCTAACTTCTGTCCCTATTCTTCTCCTTGCAGTTCTCACTGTGTCCTCACATTCCCTAAACAGTTGCCAGTCACCAATAGCTTTCTGGACAATTTTGTGCTCCCTAACCCACTTTTTTTCAAACACCCAACTATTCCTAGTTTACCAAAGCCACCACAAAAGATAAGTAGATAAACTAATCCTATCAATCATGTGGTAAGCCTTGGGAGCAGTACAAATCTCATACCACCACACCCCAAAATCAGTGTCTACCTTAGCCATCTTATCCCAGCTCACTCCCAATAACTGCCAGCACACCCTAGCCCTATTACAATTAAACAAAATGTGGTTCAAGTCCTCATCATCCTCCCCACAAACATCACAGGTCAATTCACACCCCAATACTCTCTTAGCCAAATAACAAAATCTGACCAGTGAACCCATAATTGTGAAGAAAGTTAAGAGTAACATTTGCACATCAACACTTGTAAAACATATTTAGTTACACAAATAGCTTACATGCACAAATCATAGCAAATCATCATACACAAAGCATAGAGTTATCTCCTGTTATAACTTATAAGCATCCGATTTTCTTCATCAAAAAGGCGCACACATTCTAGTTCCAAAACGAAATATACACGACACTGCATTCCGCTTCAAATTCGAAACAATCTATATCAACAGAAGAGCTATAATTACGAAAAATATGATCATAAAAAGAATCTTTTTCAAATTCTCATCATCTGCCCGAGCATCCTGAGTGGCCTCCCTACCAAGCGGGTTATTGCTAAACCCGTAATGGTATCCGGATGAATCCGAAAACCCACCAAACTGTACACTGAAAAAAGGAGAAAACATGCCCCCAAAACCTGCATACATCCCGAAATTATTAAAAGATGCAGATGTAAACGGAACAAACCCGCCCATGAGCCCAAACAGCGTGTTCGCAAAGTGATTATTATCAGGAGGTGGCATGGTTTCGGGCCTCTGGCCCGCGGGCCGGCCTGGAATTTCGACACCTGGCACGGGCTTCGACCTTGGGTCAGTAGGTGTCTTGCCCCTGCCGTACAGAGGGATTACCTTCTCTTCCTCTATAAGGGCCTTGCAGACAGGGCACTCATGGGCCCGCGAATGAGCCCGGAGCCATTTATAAAGACACGGCCAGCAGTAGAGATGGCCGCAAAGCGTGATAACTGGGTCTTGGGCTAAATCGAAACAAATGTTGCACTCGAACTCTACAGCTTCGTTTGTGTTAGTTGTTCCTGAGGAAGATGATGAACTTTCTGGTGCGTGCTCGGATGGGACGTGGGGCTCGGCCATTTATTTTGTAGGCTGAAAATAAAATCAGGATGCTGCAAAAAGAGGAGACCAAATGAATTCTGGAAATTTTCCATCTTAAATTTCTAGCAACCAAATCCGATCGAAGCTAAAAGGATCATCATATTAATACGAATAAAATATCTATGAATTTTGGAAATTTCAATCTTAAATTTCTAGCAACCAAATCTTATCAAAGCTTAAAGTATCATCATATTAATACGAATAAAAGATCTGTCTGTTAATTTGCAGAAACTTTTGTTTCTATCTTTCCGTTCTTTAAAAAAAGAAAATCAAACTTTTTCTAGAATTCTGCTAGCTCTGAATCTAAGCGTGAAATAATAAAACCTTCAAATTTCAATGCAAAGAAATTCTATCTATTCCCTCAAAACACCCCCAATTTCACAATTCTATCTATTCCCTCAAACACTCCCAATTTCAATTATATATGTTCCCTCAGAACTCCCCCAATTTTCACAATGTTCAGAACCCTAATTCTAAATCAACATCAGGAAGAGACATACATCTGCCTCAACACCAAGATAAACAGAAATACATATTCCCCAAAACACCCCCAATTTCATAATGCTAGAACCCTAATTTGAAATCAACAACATAAAGAGACATAAATTCACCATAACACCAACACAAATAGAAATCAATCTCCCCCACAATTTTTTCACAAGCTCGAAAATTTACAATCTTACACAAAATTCTAATGTTAAAAAAAATCTCAAAACATATTCACCGTAATTAGAGATCAATCCGAAACAATTATAACCATTAACGCATCAAACCACAATTGCAAACAATTAAAAAGGACGAAGAAATGTCTGCAAGAGCGTTAACTCTCACCTTCGTTTGCTGATCAGTAGCGCGAACCGTTGACTCTGGGCAGGAATTGGACTATATGAATGGATGGATGAAAGAATGTGAGAATATCTAAAACAACGCGGATATCCGACTTTCCGGAATTTTCCGGTTTTCTCTGTAATAAAAAAAGCCAAAAAAGAAAGTAGAAAATTGTTGGGCTTTTCAGGTCAAAGTTTGGGTTTTGTCCTGTATAGAATAGTCAATTCCTGAATCCGCTGGGTATGTGTTGTTTTTATTGGGCTGAAACCTTGTAATTATTGGGCTACAAATAGACTAGTGGTCTAAACTTACTTCTTAGTTAGATTTGTGAGTGGATTAAGTTTATATCCAAACGGAGGTAATGTATCTCTTATTCTTCGGCCCAAACCCTCCTTGAAATGATGGTTGGATTTAATGAAGGGAAATTCTTATAACTACCCCTTTTAAGAAAAATATTCCGCAACAAATATCGGTCATACACAATTCTAAATATACTTAAAATTAGTTACAATTAATCCAACAAAAAAAAATTATAAAACAATTAGTAACAGCTTTGGCAGAAGCTACAAACAATCTCTCATCCTCTTCGAATTTTTCTTTCTCTCTCCGATTTCTCTTTTTTTATCATATTTTCTCTTTCTTCTTTCTCTCTCCTATTTCTCCTTGCACATTTTATCTCTCTTCCTTCATCTTCATCTGTAAACATAAATTCCAAAGAATAAAAATTTGATAAAAAAATACGTTGAAGCCGAAAAAAAAAAACATATCAAGTGATCATATATGAGAGAGAAAAATAACAATCAAAAAATTAAAAGTTCTGTTGATGACCGACTTGATTACTTATGATTAATTAATGACTGATTATTTTATTCTGATAATGGTCCGTTGGAGTTATTTTTACCAACCAACTTAGTTCAATTCGGTACAGCTGAATAGTAGCCGACTTTGAACACCTAAAGGAATAACCGACTAATCTTCAAGCTTCAGGGATCGACTTCACACTAAAGACAACAAAAGCCGATCTCGCAAACATTTATATTGAAGGTTATCTATTAAACCGAGGTCTAAGAAGATCGAATTAGTAGGAGATGCTGTATGCTTTTTATTGGATAATCAAGTCAAAGAATAATCCATGATGTCCCCTCATTCCATTACACGCCGCTTTATTGAAGCTGCTCAACATTAAATGCGATCTGATCTACCTCGGACAAAAAGACAAAATCGCCGTACTATAAATAGAAGAATTTATTGCTATGCAGAGATTTTTTTCCGCACATTGTACACGAACTAAAAAATATCTCGGTTATGAACAAAATATCGACTTCTTGTACTTTCGTGAAACGATCAACAACATATAAATTTACACTTATTTCCTTTAAATACACCCCGCTGTTCGTTTATTTGAGTTGTTAAATTTCATACAACAACAGTTTGACGCTAGAAGAAGGGGCCTCATAAGAAATCTGAGGTTAATCTTCGACCAACCATACAAAGGAAGAATATATATCTCCCAAACAATCTTGATAGCAGTCAACATGACAAGTTCTGGGCGTCAAGAAAGAAATCCATACGCTGGAACCAGTCGTAATCCCTTTCAAACTACTGAAGATACGACTGCACCATCCATGACGATAAATTACTTTGTTCTGTTTCAAGATCCAGAATTTCTCAGAACTCTGTCTAATTTCATGGCGCAAACAAGAGCAGGACCAACTATTACAGTTCCTAGTCAAACTCCTGTTCCAAATATTCCAACAAGACAACAGAAGCCGCATGTTCAACAGCAGAATAATAACACTGTTGCCTCCCATGCAACTTCACAACCGCGAACTCCAGTGCTGCAACAAAATATAGCTGCTCAAAGTCACGGTGAAGTCCCTGTTAACAATAATCAACCAGACAGAATTCAGCCTGAAATTACTGCTGAAAGTCATTTAGGGCGTCGTCAACAACAACCGGTGCCCTCGTCACCGGCGACTTCGCAACCTGTTAGACAGTCCGACTAGCGTCATACCATTGAGAGGAATCGATTTAGACGCGAGATGGATGAATTGCGTCATATTATTAAAAAGAACCGTTTGAGACACGAATCGGAGGAATTGGAAGTATTGCGGAAAAGAATTGCCGAGTTGAAAACTTGGCAACGGGATTCTGAAGAATCTCAAAGGAGGGCCCCCATATCGGGTAATGTTTACCTGGAAGCTGAAACTCCATTGGCTCCTCACCTTACAATGGAACCATTATCTGGAAAAATTAAGGTTCCTCAGATCGGTCTTTATGATGGCACCTCATATCCAGATGCACATCTCGGTCAATACACCTCATGGATGGACCTTCATGGAGCAACCGACGCACTAAGATGTCGGATGTTCTCATTAACTCTGTGACCTCGGGCTCAAAAGTGGTATCATTCTTTACCTCGGTGTTCAATTTCGAAATGGCAGCAACTGAGAACGGCTTTCCGATCTCATTTCATTGGAGCCCGAGTATCTTTAATTCCAAAAGAGTCAATCGCCAACATTGTGCAAAAGGATAATGAAAGTGTCAAAGATTATATTACTCGGTTTGATGAACGAGTACATAATATGGAGCAGTGCCATCCAGAAACATTGCTGATCACGGCGATAGCAGGATTAAAGCCAAATTCTTTGTTTCGCTGGACTATTTATCAGAATAAACCGAGTTCGTTTCAAGAATTTTTAGCTCGGGCTCAACAACACATCATTGCTGAAGAACAAATGTTGGTTCCTAATCTCGACTTCTCTTCCAATAATTCAGAGTTGGAATAGGAATCGAAAAAGAAGAAAAATAAATCTTTCAAACAAAACAAATCTCGGTTCGGGAATTCCAAAAATCTCGAGGTGAAAGAAGCCAGAGCCAAGTATCTCAATGAAGTCAAATCAAGTTATCAAACAGTATTTTCGGCTGGAGCAGCAATTATATTTGAAGAATTGAAAAGGAAAGGGATTCTTCCCGATCCCCGATATGTGAGGACTCCAGAATATAAACTTGACAAGACGAAATATTGTTCATATCATAAGTCGGCAGGACATGATATCGACGAATGTTTGGGCTTACTTTCTGCCTTGTTGAGACTGATTGGACATCCACAAGTCTAAAGATTTGCAAAGAATGTTGATTATAAACGAAAAGGCAGATTGTCAGAACCCCCAGATGATGATGAAGATGATGATCGCCCGATTAATCCAAAACGTGTTAGACAGGGTGACAAAGAGGTATTTATGTTCAACTCGGAGGACAATGAAGCTTCATCTTTGGAAAAAGCTGAAATATTAAAACAAAGCAGTTATTCTAATCCTCCTGGTTTTCATAATCTTTCACGAGTTAACAACAGTAGTGGCAAAGTACATGAATCACGTCAGCAAATGAAAGCATATGCTTGGCAGGCTTACAACTCGGGCAAAGCTGTCTTAACTATCGACCTCCGAGATAAAATTAATGCTCGGAATAACTGCCCAATCACTTTTAACGTGGATGGTGCAAGCTATTTCGCTCACCCACATTCTGATCCACTTGTGATCACGACGCCAATTTGCGGGATACCAATACATCGAATAATGGTTGATACAGGTGCATATTCAAGTATCTTAATGCTCCGCACATTCGAACAAATGGGAATTGATCCCGCCGAGCTAAAACCTTGTAAAGATCAAGTACAAGGGTTTAATGGAACAATCACGCCGACTCTTGGCGAGATTACTATGCCAATTCGGTTCTGAATACCTGGACAAGCTTCGAAGGTTATCATGGAAACGTTCAAAGTGATGGATCTCAAAAATGATATAATGCCATTGTGGGAAGAACAACTCTTTACAAGCTTCGTGCAGCTGTCTCAATCTTTCATTATGCCTTAGAATTTCCCACAAATAATGGAGAAGGAACTCATTATGACGATCAATATGAAGCCCGAGGAATGATGTGGGTCAAGCCTTGGCATAAACCTTCTCCTTTGATACATATGACAGAAAATATTCAGGAAGAAATAAAAAAACCACCAACTCCTAAGAACTCGGTACCTGATGATACCGAGATGGAAGTAGAACCTTCCAAGATCACGGTAAACTCGGAAGAAAAACTCCAAGACGATTTGACTCAAGATCGTGGAAGACGTCCTGGGAAAGAACCAATTA